GACATCCTACTGCTTGGTAGTTTGAGAATTTTGACCCAGTGGTGCTCAATTAATGCTGACATAGTTCCAAGTCAAGTTGGTGAGTGGCTTGGATAGGAACGTGCAGTTTGTGGTGTTCTCATGCAGATGTTATCCTTGTCCTTCTAGGTAGTGGTAATCACAGGCTTGGAACATGCTTCTGGACAAACCATGGTGTGCAACTGCAGTGCATCTTGAGGAAGATATACACTGAAGCCACGGTGCATTGGTGATGGAGGGCTAAATGTTCAAGGTGATAAATGGGAAGTGAATGAAGTGGGCTGCTTCGCCCTGGATGGTATCAAGCTTCTTCAGTGTTTTATTTTGAGTTGCACTCATCCAGGCAAATGTAGATTATTCCATCACATGCCTGCCTTGTGCTTTGTCAATTGTAGACAGGTTTTAGGAGTCAGGACGTGAGTTATATATTGCAGGATTCTTAACTTCTGACTTGCTCTGGTACTTAAATGGGTGGTCCAGTCCAGTTCTGGTCAAAGGTAACCTCCGGGGTGTTGACAGGGATTCAGTGATAGTAACAGAATTGAATGTCAATTTGCGATAGTAAAGTTCTCTCTTAGAACACATAGCAGTAAAACACAGAAACAGGGCCTTTGACCAGCCATGTCTGTGCCGACCACAATGCCATTCTAAACTAATCCTATCTGCCTGTGCATGGTCTGTATCCTTGCCTGTTCATATGTCTATCTAAATGCCTCTTAAATGTAGTTATCATATCTGCTATGTACACAAGACTCCAAATGTGACCTAACTAAAATCTTATACAGCTGCAACTTGACTTGCCAACATTTATACTCAATGCCCTGGCCAATGAAGGCAAGTGTGCCGTACGCCTTCTTTAACACCTTATCCACTTGTGTTGCCAATTTCAGAGAACTGTGGACTTGCACCCTAAAATCACTCTGTATGTCAATGCTGCTAATAGTCCTGCCATTTACTGTTAATTTCCTCTTGCATTTGACTTCCCAAAATGCATCATCTGTCATTTCTCTGCCTAACTTTCCAAATGATCTATATCCTGCTGTACCTTTGATAAACTTCCTCATTATTCCCAACTCCACCAATTTTAATATTGTCCACAAACTGACTAATCGGACCACTGACATTTTCATTCAAATTATCTAGATATAGACATATATAGAATCAACAGAGGTCCCAGCACTGATCTTTGAAGAGCACCACTGATCATAGATCTCCAGTCAGAAAAAAAAAACACTTCCACAACTACCCTTTGTCTTCATGACTAAGCAGTTTTGCATCCAAATTACCAATCCATTAGGGATCCCATGTGACTTGATCTCCTGAGCCAGCCTACCATGAGGAACCTTGTCAAAACAACATGTTGGCTATCCTCCAGTCTTCAGAGACCCCACCTGTGGCTAAACAGGATACAAAGATCTCTGTCAAGGCCCCAGCAATCTCCTCCCTTGCCTTCCTCATTATCTTGGAATAGATCCCAAAGATCCTGGGGACTTTCCTACCTTAATTTTTCTCAAGATACCCAACACCACCTCCTTTTTAACATTGGCATGGCCTAGAAAATCAATATAGCTTCCCCTAGCCTTACTACCATTTGCGTTCATCTTTTCTCTTGCTAGAGATGTCCATTATCTTGCAGTTGTGTGGTGAAAATGTTACTTATCACTCATAGGTCTGTGATGAGGTGTTGTCAAGTCTTTCTGCATATGGGTACTGACAGGTTTAGTGTATAAGCAGTTGCTGAATGGTTCTGTGCACATCCACTCTCTGACCTTATGATGAAGGGAAGGTCATTGATGAAGCAGCTGAAGATGGTTGTCAAATAACTCCATAAAGGCTGGTATCCCGTTGCCAAGTCACCCTTTATTTTCAGATGAAGAGTCCTTGACTCTAGTCCTACCTCTTCAGCGTCAGCTCTCAGAGCGCCAGAATCTCTGATACTCCTCTTTTTATCTGTCAGGCAGGGCTCCCTGATTGGACAGCTGACTTCATTATAATCACTACAGGTTGGGTCCAGGATATTACTCAAGGAAATGCAGGAATTTCCTGCAGCTGAGACTTTTGACTTCCAGCCGTTTCAAAAGTCTTCCTTTGTGCCAGGCACGGCTGCGACAAACAGACAGCTTTCCCCCGATTCCCATTGACAGCAGTTTTATGGTAGCTCCTTAATGCCAGACTTGTCTAAATGACAAGGGCAGTCTGCATTACTTCACCTCTGGAATTCAGCCCCTTTCTGCATGTTTGAACCAAGACTGCAATAGATCTGGAGTTCAGTGACCCTGGCAGTGAGCAGTCGCTGAGAATGTCACTTCAGAGATGACTGACAGTCAGCCAATGAGGCAGTAATTGGCTCATTCGGTTTTCACTGTTTTTTATGTAAGTGACAACCCTGGGCAATTTTTCATATGGTCAGATGGACATTGGTACTGTAGCCGTACTGAAATCAGTTTTGCCAGGGCCGCAGCTAGCTCTGAAGCACAAGTCTTCCACACTGTTGTCAGAATGTGATCAGGGCACATTGCATTTGTAGTATCCTGTGCCCATATATGTAGGCTGAAATGTGTTATACTACACAGTCAGAAACCTGGCAAAAAAAAAAGTCCAATGAGTCATACAGTCATACATGATAGGAGAGGCCCTTCAGTCCATCAAGTCTGTGCCAAGCTATCTACACCAATACCACTTCCCAGCATTGACCCGTAGCCTTAAATGTTATGACATTTTAAGTTCCCATTCAAAATGTTTTTAAAGGTTTCCTGTTCATTCTACCTGTCAGGCAGTTTGTAGTTTGAATGCTGAAATCAGAATTTGAACAGTTGTAATGACCATCATGTCACTGTGAAGGTAGGTTGAGGCTCAAAGGTCAAAATGCAGGTCCAGCAGAAAGCTATATGTACCGGTAGTGCAGGAGAATCATGGCTGTAATGACAAGACAGAATAGCCTGGACAACTGTCAATAGGAATGATTGATCAAGACAATTTGACCACCCAAGTTTGTCTACCTTTAAAATTACCAAATAACTGAATTGTACATATAAATTTACAGATACTTATATCTGTATTATTAAACTGTTATCAATTTGCATGCCACAGGATTTAGTTTAATTAAAGTGTTGCTCAAAATGTAAGTGTACATGAATTCAATGAAATGCAAAGTAGATTTTGAAACCATGTAGTCATGACGTGCCATTGCTTAATTTTGTACACTATTCCATTTTGTTGATTAAATGATTAATTGCTAACCTCTTGATGACAGTTACACTAGTTGAACAAATTAATAAATCAATCAACAAAAGGAGAATGAAATAGCCTGCAACATTTGCACGCTGCAAGCTCCTAGAAATAGCACTGTTCTAATTGCCGTTAACAAGCCCCTTGAAATGTGGCAATAACTTGACTCCCCAAATCCTGCTCACAATCTGTAAGGTACATGTCAGGAGTGTGATGGAATACTCCTCACTTGCCTGGATGAGTGCAGCTCCAACAACACTCAAGAAGCTTGATACCATCTAGGAGAAAATAGCCCAATTTATTGGCACTACATCCACAAACATCCACTCCTTCCACCACCAACAGTCAGTAGCAATAATGTGTACTATCTTAAAGATGTATTGCAGAAATTCGCCAAAAATTCTTAGACATCAAATTCCAAACCCGTGACTATTACCATCTATGTGGACAAGGGCAGCTGATAAATGGAACATAACCACCTGCAAGGTCCTCTCAAAGCCACTCACCATCCTACCTTGGAAATAAACTGCTTTTCCTTCAGTGTCGTTGGGTCAAAATCCTGGAATTCCCTCCCTAATGTCAGTGTGGGCCTACCTACAGAACATGGATGGCAGCAGTTTAAGAAGGTAGTGCACCTCTACCTTCTCAAGGGCAACTGGGGATGGGCATTACATTTTGGTCCTGTCAGCGATGTCAAAATCCTATGAATGAATAAAAAGAGGCAAAATGTGTTAGTGTCTTTGCACATTCTAAGGTGCCTCAGTACGACATCACCATGTAGCAATGCCGTGGACGCTTGAATTTCTGATTTCAAAAAATTAAAATAATTATTTGCAAACCTCATGCTTTGACATATACCATTTGAATGTAATACTAAATCAATATTTGATTTCAGAAATTTATTAAATATTAACTACCCTCAAAGAGCTGACTAATTAAGTTAAATTGAATGAAAGGGTATCGGTGACAATTAGAAACAACGAAGGAAGTGATATTTTGGACTACTGGACAGGCAAGGTTACCTGATAGCAATTGAACTTCATAGAATCATAGAATCCCTACAGTGTGGAAACAGGCCCTTTGGCCCAACAAGTCCACACCGACCATTGGAGCATCCCACCCAGATCCATCCCCCTATAACCCACACACCACTGCACATTACAGGCAATTTAGCATGGCCAATCCAACCTAGCCTGCACATGTCTGGACTGGAAACTTAAAGGAAGCAGTGAGATATTAAAATCTCCAACTTGTTTTCAAATATTATTAGTGATTTAATCCCCTCATATACTCCCATATGTTACTGGGTTTTCACTTTTGCTGCCCCTGAAAGCTTTCTTTCATATTTTGCTCCAACCCTGTTATTCTCCTTCTTCTCATCAAGATTGTGTGACATTACTTAGTTGTTTTCTTTTCTGTCTATGCCTATCTAAAACAATTTGCCATACAAAGGTTAACTTCAATAATTTTGCTTCCCATGGGTCTCAATTGTAAGTGTTATTGATGATAATATTAGTTTTCACTCATCTGAGGCTTCTGAATTAACCAAGTTTACTGAATGATAAGACAGAATTCTGTCACTTCAAGTATCACAATTGCAACTGTGTAAAAGTGCAATCAATGTAATATGGCTCATTGGAGTTTACTCACTATTTTCTTCCTCTATCTGCCGCGCAGCTAGTTTACTGGCGATTATAATCCTGTCCCGAGGAAGGTGTGGTCTGTCGAGATGCATCACATGGTATCTGGTCTCCATGGCGGTGACAGATCTCCTGGTCATCATCACTGCTGTGCTGTTAAACCGAATTCCCGGTATTTATTTCCCAAGTAGTTTCCTGTCAATAACTCCTGTATGCAGTCTCATGATTTCTTTAATCTATGCATCCAGGGACTGTTCTGTCTGGTTAACAGTTGTCTTCACTGTTGATCGATTTGTGGTCATTTGTTGTCCGAGGCTGAAAAGAAAATATTGCACTGAGAAAATGGCAATCATAATAATAGGAACGGTTTGTACGGCAGGATGTTTAAAGAGTATTCCCTGGTACTTTCTACATGAACCCATTTATATCATGAACAATATCCCATGGCATTGCAAAATGAAGGAAATATTTTACACTTCACCAGTATGGGGAGCTTTCCTATGGATTGACTGCATTGTAACCCCATGTCTGCCATTCTTTCTGATCATTCTTCTTAATGCCCTGACCGTCAGATTTATTCTAGCAGCCAACAGAAATCACAGGAGACTCCGAGCCCAGATCATTAGAGAGAATCAGAATGACACAGAACTGGAGAACCGGCGGAAGTCCATCATTTTGCTCTTTGCTGTCTCTGGCAGTTTCATACTGCTGTGGATGACGTATGTGGTATACTACTTCCACAGACTCCTTTTTCCCCATTATCTTATCAATGGCTTCAGTGATCCACAATTCATCCTGCAAGAAAGTGCCAACATGCTCCAACTGTTGAGTTGCTGCACCAACACATTCATCTATGTGGTAACTCAGAGCAAATTCAGACAGGAGTTAAAGAACATGGTGGAATATCCACTAAATCTATTGCCTAAATTAAGTAGATAGTGGATGTAAAAATTGTGCATTCATTCTTCATCAATAGAAATGCCTAGGGACTGCCTCAGAGATTGGCAACTTTGGTACTTATGACATGCAAATTCAATAATAGTTTTCATTTATTTCGGCTGGTGTCAGAAAGAATAATTTCTGCTGATTTGTTGGAAAACATTTAGCCATTGCTTTTGTAGGACGGGAAAGAGAAAATATCTTGATAACATTATCTAGTCCTGATGTGGTCCCACACCATTTGTTGGGTCTCTCTCTGTGTCTTCACAATGAACAGATATGATCAATTATTGTGGATCTTCTAATATTACTGCCAGCTGGTGGTAATTCTGCATGAGCTGAATCCCAGAATGAAACTAGGCTTCACAGGCAGAGACAGTAGGAACTGCTGATGCTGGAGTCTGAGATAACAAGAAGTGGAGCTGGATGAACACAGCAGGCCAGGCAGCATCAGAGGAGCAGGAAAGCTGACATTCCAGATCTGGACCCTTCTTCAGAAAAAGAGTCTGGAGACTTCTGAGGAAGGGTCCAGACCCAAAACATCAGCTTTCCTGCTCCTCTGATGGTGCCTGGCCTGCTGTGTTCATCCAGTTCCACACCTTGTTATCTTTAGGCTTCACAGGCCTTGTGGCTCCTTTTCCCAATTGGTTAACAGGGGAATTGATCACACCATCGTCATAAAGTCTGGTGAAGTCCTTTGACAAAGAACTATGATATATTACACATAAGAAGAAATAAACAAACACAGCAGTATGACTATAGATGTCAATTAGAAAGATATCAAAACTAACATTTAAATGAAGTTTCAACTTGTTTCTCATCATTATTCATCATGGAGATTCACACCCATTGAACTATCCTCCCATTCCAAATTTTCTTTTCTTTGCCTTGAACTGTTGAAAACATTTTTAAATGATTCCTTTCTGAGTCTATTGCCATGAAAAACACTGAAATATAGAAAATAAGAGCATGGGTAGACCATTTGGCCCTTTAAGCTTTCTCTGTGTTTCTAATAACCATAGCTTAAGTGAATCTAGCTCAAACCAATCCAGTCTCTTTTCATACGCCATTCCTGCCATCCTCAGAATCAGCCCAGTTAACATTTATAGCACTCACTCTATAGTTAGAACACCTTACCAAATGAAGAGTCCAAAAGTGTCCAAAAGAGTCCACAATACTCCAAGCATGTTCTCACTAAGGCCCTGTACAATTGCAGCAAGCCATCCCTTGCTCTTTTACTTGAACCCTCTCACTACAAAGGTCAACATCCAACTTGACTTCTGCAATGTTAGCTGCTTCTTCACCTACAGCTTACTTTCAGTGACTGGTGTCCAAGGTACTAAGATCTCCTTGCACCTCCCTATTTCTCAATCTATTGCCACCCATAGGAACCTCTCACAATTCTCAGTGCCAATAGAAGAGTTTCTTCTGAACTCTCCTGATTTGGAAGCTCCACAGGTGAGAAATTACTTTGAGATAACAAGGTGTAGAGCTGGATGAACACAGCAGGCCAAGCAGCATCAGAGGAGCAGGAAAGCTGACGTTTCGGGCCTAGACCCTTCTTCAGAAATGGGGGAGGGGAA